TGGAAACATCCGGAGAGGCACCTTTATGCGCCCGTAGGAGCGGCGGGGGAAGTGACGCGTGTGCGGGAAGCCGATACCTGAGCGCGGCGGACCGGCCCCCAAAATCCCGTGGGACGGGCTCCCCGCACGGGAGCGAGCGCATTGTTTTGCTAAGAGTAAAGTATCGGTGTTTGACTATTAGACAAACTAAAGTTACATGTTTTCTCCTCCGAATAACAACAACAACAGTATTATTATTATGATTATTATGATTATTATTATTATTATTATGAATAATAATAATAATACCAACAACGACAATAATAACAAAACATTATTATTGTTATTATTATTATTATTATTATTATTATTATTATTACTGTTTAACAGTAACTATCAACTTTTCTAAAAATGCAGGAAAATGGACTTGGTTTAGAAAAAACATTGAATTTTATGAAACCGGAAATAAAATGGAAAATACAACCTAGGTAATATGTAAACGTGACGTACATCGCAATGATCTAATCGCGTATATTATTTCATGCAGGTCCTGTTGCCTGACTTGTACTGTATGTAACAGTTTTATCGATTGGTCATATTTACCACGCAAGTGATATTTGCATGTTATGCAAATATTTGTGGCTTGTTTAAACTTGGCTGAATGACACATTTGTTGTGTTGCCACCCTTGAGTAAAGCAAGCTATTGTGCGGGTGTGTTTTTTGCACGTGTTTGCGTAACCTCCCCAGTAAAAAAAAAACAAAAAAAAACAAAACTAAAAATCAGTCTTATTATGGAATGTAGTGGAGTGGCAGCAGGATGTACAGCAACTTGGCTGACCTCACACATCCAGGATCACATGTAAAGGGACTGGACCCTGGGAGCCGCCTGGGTGTGGGCTCAGAACCCAGCCAGCACTGGCCACAGCAACAGAATCGAGTTGTGATACAAGTTTGCAGCAAATCAACAAATCTGAGAGGTGATCAAAGAGGCAAGCATTTATAAGAACGTAAGAAATTTACCTACCAGAAGAGCCTGTTTGGCCCATCAAGCTCGTTTGGGGAGAACTTAACTAATAGCTCAGAGTTGTTAAAATCTTATCTAGCTCTGATTTAAAGGAACCCAGGGTTTTAGCTTGCACTACACTTACAGGAAGACTATTCCATACTCTAACTACACGCTGTGTAAAGAAGCGCTTCCTCCAATCCAGTTTAAAATGTTCTCCCGCTAATTTCCACCTATGGCCATGAGTTCTAGTATTTAAATTAATATTGAAGTAACTATTTGGCTGAACAGCATCCAGACCTGTTAGAATGTTATATACCTGGATCATAATTAGTCTCCTTTGCTCAAGGCTGAACAGATTGAGCTCAGCTAACCTCTCCTCATAAGACATTCCTCTAAGACCAGGAATCATCCTCGTAGCCCTACGCTGAACCTTTCCAAGGCAGCAATGTCCTTTTTATATTCAGACAGCTGGGAAAGGGGTCACTGTAATAATTACAGATGTCTGAGCTCAGGGCTTGAACTGAGTGTGGTGGGGAGGGGAAGTACAGCCTGTTTGCCCTCGTCCAGGCAGAGAGAGGCTCTGGTTAGGCGTAAGAAATCGGCTGCGTGTGACGCCTCAGACTGCGTGAGCCGGGATGCGGTCCTCCACATGCCCCCCATGCAGCACTGATGCATGCACACACCACCCCCCCCCCCCCCCCCCCCCCCCCTTTTCTTCCTGCTTCTTATAAGTATATGAATCTCGATATTCCTTTCCAGTAACTCGCCATGCCTTTGTGGGGTAATCCTGCCTCTGCATTAATTCAATTCAATTTATTTTTATATAGCGTCTTTCACAACAGTCGCCCCAAGGCACTTTACATGGTTCAGAAGAAAGCCTGACCTACTAAGGTACAATATCAAGCAGGTATTGCTGAGGTAGTCGATCCTGCCTGATGATTTTGTTATTGTTTTCTTATTGCCTTACTCACGCTGCGTGGTTTCCTGTAACATGCCTGTCTCTAAGGAGACCAGAATGATGTACAGACTGAAGAATTCCAGGGAACCATTTACCTGTATTTGTGCAAAGAGCAAATAAAACCTTCGTTTCATTCCAGATTGTACAGCCAAGAGCTAAGCGTTAAGGTTTAATGTGTCTAAAATGTTTGTGTTTAACACACGGACTGACTTTTAAACCTCAGCTGTGAGAAAGCCTTTCAGGCAAATGGGGGGGGGGGTTGAGGGTGGGGTAAGAGACAGCTGTCCATCTGGCCATCCTCTGCACATCACCCTAGTGGGGGTGGAGAGTGACCCCCCCCCATTTGCACACTAGTCATTTTAATGATAAAGTACATTGAAGTAAGTGTTGTACAACACAGTAAATAGCCATTGTACATAAAATCCTACCATAAAATATATAATAGTAAATCCCATAATAGCATACATAGAATACAACAATAAAATCCATCTATTGAAGTCATGCAACACTAATGTTCAAGATGCAAATGCTAATGAGTAAAAATATGTCTTTATTCTGTGTTAATCAGGCCCGGCTCCAGCTCTGGACTTACCATGAGGTAAGCGTAGGTTACATTTAAGGATATAACATAATATGATCATTTAAATGATAGCAACATATATGTTGTTTGCATTTTTAATGACACCTTTGAGGATAAACTCGCACCTGCCCCAGCAGAAACACACAGTGTAGCCTACAGTAGCTCTTGAAATGAAGGGAAATCGGAAAATGCAGGAAAGTGTCTTATAACTGAGAAATACCAAGGTGCCAACACTCGGAGAGCCATAGGTGTGAGCCAAGCTCATGAGTGGGCCGAGCCAGGACACCCTGCCCCCCACCCTCATGAGCCGGGGCTGTGTGCCAATGGGCAGGTGGCCTGAGTGAGTCAGCACCTTGTCCCCAGGTGGGGGGGGGGGGAGGCACAGAAGAGGTAACTATGTGAAAACCAGCTCTGCCTGAGGGGCGGCGCCGTGAGCCCTGTGAGTGGCTCTGGCACTGTAGTGCGGTTCCTCCTCCATGAGCCTGGGCTTCTTGGGATGGGCTCCCGGCTCTCTGAGACCCTGTGCTGTACAGATGGTTACAGATGGATGGATGGATGGATGGATGGATGGAGGGATGGCCTTGGCAGTGGATTCTGATTCATATTTAATGAGAAAATGTGACCTTCCTTTAATTTTGTTGCAGGTAGTCATTCTTCCATCTGATGTCATGCTGTTTTCTCAGCACAGTCTTGGGGGGGCTTTGACTCTGACATGAAGGCACCAGTATTTAAGCACAATATACAGTCGTGGCCAAAAGTTTTGAGAATGACACAAGTATTGGTTTTCACAAAGTTTGCTGCTTCAGTGTTTGTAGATCTTCTCGTCAGATGTTTCTACAGTATACTGAAGTATAATTACAAGCATTTCATAAGTGTCAAAGGCTTTTATTAACAATTACATTAAGTTTAAGAGTCAATATTTGCAGTGTTGGCCCTTCTTTCTCAAAACCTCTGCAATTCACCCTGACATGCTGTCAACTTCTGGGCCAAATCCTGACTGATTGAACCTCTCTCCTTAAAGTCCTTGATGATCCGATAAATGGTTGATTTAGGTGCAATCCTACTAGCAGCAATATCCCTGCCTGCGAAGCCCTTTTTGTGCAAAGCAGTGATGACTGCATGTGTTTCCTTGCAGGTAACCAGGGGTAACAGAGGAAGAACAATGATTTCAAGCACCACCCTCCTTTTAAAGCATCCAGTCTGCTATTCTAACTCAATCAGCATGACAGTGTGATCTCCAGCCTTGTCCTCGTCAACACTCACACCTGTGTTAACGAGAGAATCGCTGAAATGATGTCAGCAGGTCCTTTTGTGGCAGGACTGAAATGCAGTGGAAATTGGTTTTTTGTTTTTTTCAGTTCATTTTCATGGAATAGAGGGACTTTGCAATTAATTGCAAGTCATCTGATCACTCTTCATAACATTCTGGAGTTTATGCAAATTACTATCATAAAAACTGAGGCAGCAGACTTTGTGAAAATTAATATTTGTGTCATTCTTCATTCTCATGGCTGTACTGCTCATTCTAATCCCAGATCAAAGACTTTATTTATTGTTTACTTATGGTGTTGAATCTTAAAATAAAATCAAAATTGACAAAACTCTATGTACATAATGTCATGTTAGATTATGTGTAAGATGATTCACTCTGCTTAACTGGTCTTAGTATGGTTTGATTCCGACCAATCCCAGTTTGGAGGTCACCGTCATTAACCCATTCGGAACAGGATATTGAAGGCATTTACTGGTATGTTTTTTTCCTGTTGCACTTAGAAATGTATGATGGACCAGCTTGGCTTTCTGTGCCTCACTAATATGTTTACTTCCTTGATTTAATTAGATATCCCTGCAGGTAATGAAAATAAATGTAGGTTCCTTGTTGTCAAGGTAACAGGAATACAGGAACGCGTCAGCTTGGCATGACTGATCAGTGTTTATTCAGTCCTATTGTCACAATGTTGTTGCGGGAAATTAAGTGGATTACACAGCAGCTTCATGTCATGCCACGAGTCTGTCAGGCATCACCATAGACGGCCCAGCCACCACGAGTCTGTCAGGCATCACCATAGACGGCCCAGCCACCACGAGTCTGTCGGGCATCACCATAGACGGCCCAGCCACCACGAGTCTGTCGGGCATCACCATAGACGGCCCAACTGCCACAGGGAGTCCACCAGCCGGAAACAGGATTAAGGGGATCCGCGCTTAGCATATCGCGGAAGCCCTGATGGCATCAGCTTTGTGGTGGACTGGCCCCCTCACAGACCATTACGGAGACACAGCACTAACTCCCAGGCTGGCCCCCCCAGCACCAGCCCAGTGGCTCCACCCGCTGTGAGGATCTAAAGGTCGATGAAGAGGTCCAAAGTGGGCATGAGCTTCAGGAACTTCAGGGTAAGAACAGCCCCAGCAGGGGGAAACCTAGAAACAGATATCTGTTATCGAAGATGACATAAAAAAAACAGCAGCGAGACCATTAGGGGTATAACCAGTCTTATTGTTTTTGACAAAAGGTGCAGTGCAAATCCAGTGAAAGAATCCATTTTGTACAGAGGTTCAAAATCATCTTAAAATATCACCAGTTAAAAAAACCCACATCAGAAGCAGCTGGTACATCCCACACCGGCAATGGTTATAACTGCACTCTCACTCGCCAGTGAGGAATCCACGTGCGCAAATGAGATGGCGTGTCCACAAACAGATGCAGGAACACGCTCAGTAGTGAAGCCGCACGTGTAGCGAGAAGGAACACACAGCACGTCACCCATCATAATTTAGACGTGTTAATAAAAACACTATACAAGCAAATCTCTTTTAAAACAGAAATAAAAACTGTCCAAGCATTAAAATGAGGTGCCGCTGCCTTCTGACCCGCCACAGCCATCGATGGCACAGAAGTCACTCGTCAAAGCCGTTTGCAGCCGGCCATTTAAAACACCGTGCTGCTCCGGCCCTTCCCAAGCGGGTCCTCGGGAAGCTAGCGGGAGTTAAAAAGCATTTAGCAGAACTAAAATGACAACGCAGGATGATTTCCGTTCCTGGATGGTGTTTGTGACAAGCAAGCAACATAAATACAGTCAAACACCACATACAGTCACTCAGCAGCACGATAAAACCGGCATCTGCAGTTCTCGGGTGTAGGGGGTTAGGTTTAGGGTTAGGTTAAGGCAGGCCGACTGAGAACTGTAATCTTTAACCTAGACTCTCCAGTGCAAACTGCGGTGTTATTTTTAAGCTGTTAGCAGAATTTCTGTTGGACTTCATCACACGATTGTTGCTGATCTTCGGATTTCTTCATAACTGAGACTGACCATAGTCCAGGTCCCCAGTAGTGTTTCCGTAGCAGGGGGGCAGTCACTCATGTTATATTACAGCCCCCCTGTTCTGTACCAAAGAGCCACTTCAGTTTGCAGGAAGTAGACAGTGCAGACAGGTAGAGAAGCGTGGACATTGGGGGGGAGGGTCAATTAGGGAGGGGCGTCAGATGGAAAGGTGTGTCCACTCTGGGCAGCATCTGACTGTTCCTGATCAGTCTCCATTTGATGCCCCCCCCGGCCTGGAGCCCCCCCTACACCGCCGCCTGTGCCGCGTCCGGCACGTGCCCCTCATCCCGCTGCTTTATCGCCTGGATCGCCGCCAGCTCCTTGGCCTCCTTCTTCTGGTTCCTGGCCTCAAACTGCAGCCTGTGGTGTGTATGGGGGGCAGGGGTCAGTCCACTGGCTGCTTCCTGTCACCCTCCAACATTAGTCAGGGGACAGATGTCACACTCACCCCGCAGACCCCATACACGCACACACACGCACGCACGCACACACACGCACGCACG